CGACAACAGGACAGCCTCCTGCTAAACTCTTCTTAGGTCGCAATATACGAACTCGGTTAGACTTGGTCCGACCTGATAGTATGTACACCAAAATGAAGGAGAAACAACTACAGCTTGATCCTTCATCTAGATCATTTAAACCGGGACAAACAATTTATTTCCTCTCGGGTAATCCTCGGATGGATAAATGGATTCCAGGCATAATCGTTACCAGGCTAGGAGATCTTCATTATGAAATAGAATACGCCAGTAAACGATTTAAGCGACATGTAGACCAGATTCGCGCATTCATCAGTAAGGAATCAGAATGTTCAACTGATCGCAATCTAACACAAACTGAAGAAACGCAACCTAGCGTACCCCGACGAGTTCATTTCTATGGAGATAAACCACAAGTCATCCCGAATGAAGCAGTGGGTTCTACGACTCCAAATCCACAGTCAAAGATGGTGAAGTTACCATCGACGCCAGCCCACTCAACAATCAGATCGCAAGAGTCGTCACCAGAACTATTTTTTACACCACCGGTTATACCACGTAGGTCGACTCGATCTCGTCATCCTCCTAATAGATATGTTCCAAGTTAATTCTGTTCTCTTTTGTAAGGAGGGAAGAATGTTATGTATGAATATGTTTTTCTGTAAATCGTAATCGTAATATTTCGTTTAGCAATAGTTACTTATTTCGCACGAACGCACCTATGTAAAACGCGCTTTATATCTCGACCAATCACGAGCAAGCTTCCGTCGAACACACTCTCTATCGTTCGTAGTTCGTACTTCTGTACCTTCCGTTCCCGCTACTTCTTGTAACGATCTCGCACACAACAGCCGTGCCGAATAAAGTGCTCATTAACATTATCATATTTCTCATTGTCTCACCGAACCTCACACGCCTAACCCACACACATACACAAAAATTTATATTATAACTAACATTAAGTATATGTAACTAAATTTATTTGACACACGTTTCTGTTACTTGCCTATTACTTTTCGTGATGGCTATCAGTTTATTATAATTTTATTGTACTTAAAATTATTATTGCTTTTTAGGGTTTTTTATAATTTAGGAAAAGTCTAAAATTGTAAAAGTGTCTAAATATTAGTGCGCTTACAAAGGGGAGATACAGAAGAGGATTTAACGAGTTCGCGATACCGTAACGCTGCCAGTCATCGTCCGTACTTCGACTAACATGTCTCGAGAGCGTGAAAAAATCGCGAGGGAGATCGAGAGGACGAGCGAGTCGATCCGCAAGAAACATCGCTCTCTGAAGACCGGTAGGATCGACGAGGACATTGGTTTCAAGCCTATCGTTGAACCGTTGCGACAGATCGCAGACAGTAGTCCCATCGTGCGCGCGATAAAGACAGAGTCGCCTGACGCTACCCCTAAACGCAAGAGAATGGAGAAGAAGGATGAGGAAGAGGAGGATGCGGGAGATTTCTTCGTGACTCCGCGCACGCATTTATTTGATCGAACGCTCGAGCCGATAACCTCCACACCGTATGCACCTGCCCAACCGTCGGAGTCGTTCGACGACGTTTCCGAAACGATGTACGCCTAACGCGGCACTCTCATTCGCCTCCGAATATAGGATTTCTTGTGGATTTGTCTAAATATATTTAGAACGCGTAAAGTACGAAAGTAATATAAAGAACGCTATATTAAAGAGAGTTGAAAAACATCTCTGATGGATAAGAGAGTTGAATCTAAAAATATTAATCAAAATGAAGAAACGAATAACGACACAAAAGAAGATGAACACAAACAGCCCGGTAAGAATTATATAGTTCCTAATAATCATTCTTAATTTTATTCATGTCATTAAACATTAAAATTTGATTAACAAAATTAATACATTAAATAATGCATTATACAAAGAAACAAAAATTTTGATGTAGAATAATTTTGTCAATAATCATCGTACCGAGATTTTTTAGAACAACACTTTAAAGCTATGAATCTGTTCTTTTCAGACATTTATTTCAAACAATGACGTTTTATAAAGTTATACAAATAAAAAAGAAGGTGCAACAGATTTCAATATTTTTAACGATATTTTCGAAAATTCCACGTAACGAATTAAAAATGTGCACTAATACTTTTTAAAAGCAACTGAACGGATACATCTTGGTATCTCAATTTCCTTACTTATTATCGTGCACTGTACTATTTTCCTTATCTGAATTACTATATGTTGATGTAAAAATGAACATTTTATTACAACGTTGAATAAATCGGTGAAAAAAATTTTACAGAGGATGACGAAAAAGGAATTTACATACAAAAAACGATTCTATCTTTCCGATGCCATGAAATTTATTTGTGCATAATTATCATTTCGCACCGTGCAACTTCGCAAATTTCGTGTAAAACTTTAAGATTTGATAAATCATCATTTATGATACTCTAACTTTATAAAATATCAGCATGAAATTTTTTGAAATGACGGTGTGAAGGGTAGAGATTACATTATATAAAATGGTTTCTTTAACATTTCGGTCGGATGATCTTTTACGAAATCATTCTTTTTCGAAGTTTGCTTGTTCTTGCAAGTGACGCTTTAATTTGAGTAGAGTATTTTAAAAGTTATGAGAATTATGTTACAATTTTCATTTTTTTTCGCAACAAGATCTTTCTTTAATTTTAAGATGATCGCACTAACTCCCCGACAATTTCATATAAAGAGATTAGAAACATACATGAAATTAGACTACCCATATGTAAAACATGTGGTAAAGGGTTTAAAAATAATTGGAGTTTGCGTAGACACGAAAGAACTCATAAAAACAAAAAGCCTTACCAATGCGAGTTTTGTAAATATAAATGTGGGTGAGTATTTAAGTGAACAACAAAAGTTAGGAAATGCTTTGGTGACTCAATATCATTGATTAAATTAACACGTAAAAAATAATAAATATTACAATGATCCATTTGCAGGCTAAAGGTACAGCTAAGTAGTCACATGTATCGTCGAGATGCGACCGTACTCGAGTTACAACAAGGGTCGTCACTACATACTCACCGTCATCGATGTGTTGAGCAAGTACGCGTGGACCGTGCCGCTCAAGAGCAAGGGCGGAAGCGAGACCGTTAACGCTATCGCTGAAATAATTCGAGAGAACGGAAATATTACACAAATGCGGAACATGTAATAAAGAGTTCAAGTACACAACGCAATTACGTGACCATGAATGAACTCATACAGGCGAAAAACCTTATCAATGCGAATTTTGAGAAAACAAATTTAGGTGAGCATTTAAGTGAATTACAAGAGTTATAGGGAAATGCTTTAGTAATTCATTATCAATGATTAAATTAATTGGTAAAAGTAATAAATATTTCAACGGTCGTTTCGCAGCCGGAAAGATGGTCTAATATATCACGTGAAGACAAAGCATAACAATGATGAACGTTTCAAGTCTAATAAGGATCTATATACTGGAGGTGTATCATACAAATGCGGAACGTGTAATAAAGCTATCGCCGAAAGACTCTTGGACACGGTGTACAGCGCGATAAAGATCGCTGGTCCCGCAAAATTTAAAGTAGGCGACGCGGTACGCGTGAGCAAGTACAAGACGATCTTTGAGAAGGGTTACACGCCAAATTGGACCACGGAGGTGTTTCAAATCGTCAAAATACAGAAAACTAATCCCGTGACATATCTTCTGGAAGATTACCGCGGAAAACCGGTCGCTGGAGGATTCTACGAGCACGAGTTGCGTCGCGTCGCTAATCCCGACGTGTATCTCGTGGAGAAAGTACTGCGTAAGAAAGGAGACAAGGTGTACGTCAAGTGGCTGGGATTCGATGGATCGCACAATTCATGGATAAATAAAAACGATGTCGTTTAAATTAATTTTTTTTTATTCATATAACAAAATATATATAAAAGTATAAGAGTATCATTGTTACTCTTTATTTATTCCTTCACATACATACATGTAATTATTTTTAACATATATAAGAATCAAGTACTATAACATTACTCGAGTACAATAAATGCGAAGTATAAAGATACATTTAAAAAAAAACGTATAAAAGAACATACATAAAACTCAATACATACCTAAAACTCAATACATATATACGTACAGTATAAGTAATAAGTATAGGTATAGGTATAAGTATAGGTATAAGTAAAAGTAAAATACATATTAAGAAATACAATTTAAAAAGGTATAAAATACATAAAACTCAATACATACATAAAAGTGTAAGTATAGGTATAAGTATAAGTACAAGTATAAGTATAAGTAAAAGTATAAAATACATATATAAAAACTCAATATAAAAATACATATTAAGAAATACAATTTAAAAACGTATAAAATACATAAAACTCAATACATACATAAAAGTCTAAGTATAGGTACGAGTATAAGTATAAGTATAAGTACAAGTATAAGTATAAGTAAAAGTATAAAATACATATATAAAAATACATATTAAGAAATACATATATAAGAATTAAAGCATAAGTATAAAATACATATATAAAATTAAAGTATAAAATTACGTATAAATGAAAATGTAAATGCTCTGTCTAAAACACGTATAAAAATCGCAAACTATACTGCTACAATGGTATCCGCCAATGTCCCCACGGTAACGTCTCCGTCGAGTCCGGTACGACGTACCGTTTGTCGTCGTACGGACTCAGAGTGATTTTCTTTTCCGACACCGTGTACACTTGGTGTAACTTCGATCGTATACACGACTGTCTACGCGTCATTTCCATCTCTTCGTTCAAACATCGGGTGTAATCGTCGAACGTTATCGTTCGCGCTACGACGCTGCTCTTTACACCCTTTGCCTTCTTCGTCTCTCTTTCCGTCCACGCGCAACGCGTACATCTTCGCTCTGAGTCCAACGAACTCGGTCATTATCGCGCCGTTGTTTTCGTCCTTCATAAGGCCGGGCACCTTCTTGTTCGCGAGATGCATACCGTACGCGTTGTCCGTCGGATAGTCGCTCGTATCGAATCTAGCGATATCGCGTTTCATCGCCGCGTACACATCGTCGCATTCGACGCGATATATGAGACTGTCCGTGTCGGTGTACATAATTTTACATTTTTCCTTAAACATAGGTACCATGTACTCGTGGTGGAATTCGTACAAGCAGACTTTAGATATGTCGAGTATGCACATACCTACGTAAATCGGCTTGTCGAACTTCACCTCGAGTTTGCGCAATTCAACGGCGATTAAGTTTTCCGCAAAGACGCTGCGGCTGTGGAAATTTAGTTTCGCGATCAATGCCTCCGCGCCGTACCGCCCGTCCCATGTAGTTACCAATTTAACGTCGACGCAATCGCGTACGTTCTCCATCGTTTTGCCGAATACCGCGTTGTTCATCAATTTGTATAAATTTTTTTCAAAATTATTTTTCGCGCGCGTTCTGAATTGCGTGTTCAGTTCGATGTAATCACGCAGCCAGGCTGATTGAGCGAATTGTAACACGCGATGGATCTTCGTTACGCGAAGGCCGTGATGTATGCATTGCTGAAGGTTACGGTAATGAATGACGTAACGCTGTTTATAGTACAGAGTCGCGAGCAGTTTATTCTCGCGCTTGCCGGGCGGCTTATCGCGCGTCGGGCAGAACGGTAGGTCAGCGTGCGCGTCGTGAAGATGTTGCGGATACTCGAGATCTACCTCGAGAATGTACCCGGTGGGCAAATCCGGAGCGATCGCGTTCGCGTCGAGTTCGCGGCGTCTTCGGTCCATCGAAAATCCGCGTAGGGCAGCGGCTGACACATCGCCCATCCGTACAGATTGTTAACGTCGTAGTACATCAGGTACGACGACGGTTTCGACGAGTCGTACGAACGCATGTACTTGTTATTGGCCTTTGCGTATCTGCCGGAACATTGGCTAAGGCCACCGCGTATACCGCGCTCGACAAACATAACCATATCTATATCGGTGAGCAACTCGAATTTCACGCGCGTGTGTTTCAGCATAGCGTCCCACGTGAAACCGGGCAATGTGTAGTAATGCACGGGATCGAGACCGTAACTCGCGACGCAACTTTCGCGAAAATTTTCGAAAACGTCGGTCAATAACAAGACGTCGGTTTTCAAGTACAGATCGCTGTACTCGCCGAGCGTTCGCACGGAGAACCGCTTCCATACGTTCGCGGCGTGTGCGTAATCGCTCTCGGACACCGTATTGCCTGTCAGCGAGCTGTGAAACGATTCGCGCGGCGGTAAGCGTGTATCGTTCAGTTTTTCGACGCAATCTACGTACTTGTAAGGAAATACTCCTTTACGAGTAAGCAGATTGAAATCTTCGTCCGACAGACTCGAAAATTCGGAACGCACAATTTTCAATTGATCCTTATCGAGATAAGACGCTAATTTGTCTAGACCCGAACTCAAAAATTTATAAGAATCAATGAATCGCAATTTAATAACATTTTTCTTAATATTATTTTCATCTTTTTCTTTAGTGCTATCAACATGTTTAGTGAACGAAATGTATTTCTCTTTAGTCAGTGGAAGTAAATCTACCTGCCCATCGTACGCGGTAGCGATTTCTTTTATAACGAAGTGCGCGTCGTATCCCGATAGGTTGTGAAATACAACCGGTATGTAGAGAGAGTCCTTATAATTTACGTTGCAACCTTTATGCGCTGGGCCGCGGTATCGCCCGGTGAGGTGGCAGTGATCGCGTGCTCGCTCGTCGTCCGGCGCGAACGGCCTCTCACAGATGTGACAGTGCGTTGCACTGTTGAATTTCTGCCAGTCGTCTCGCGTGAAATCCATAGGCTGGTTAGCGGATATTATAGCTTTCGCGCGGTGCGCCAAGTCCTCGAGCTGGCGCGCGAACCAGCTGACGCAGTCGTTATCGCGACGAAACCGATACGCCGATAACGTGTCGTCGTACGAGCACCGCACGTAGTACCCTATACTAAATACCTCGTGCTGTTGGTACGCGTACGACGATGTCGATGTTGATGCAGCGTCTTCCGTCTTTCGCAAGACACACTTCAGGTCGGCGTATACTACAAACGGCGCCCGCTCCTTCATGCCGTAGTTGTGGAACTCCAACCACTTTTTCTCCTCGCTAGGTAGGCGGATAGCGCACTAGTTTAATTTACCGCAGTCCTCGCTGTGACTCTCCAATTTCACGATGGTACTGAAATAATGGAGGCAACTGAAAAAACAAAAAAACATACATTAGTAAAAAAACTTTTTTTTCTTAATATTTTATTTTTACTTATTATATTTACCGATCGCAAAAGAATTTCTTGTGCTCCTTTTTAGAGAGTTGCGATCCTACGAGTCGGGACAGATGCTTGATCGTCACGAAATGTCCTGTGTCGCCGTCTTGCACGTACAGGAGATTGACGTGCTTCTCCCTCTTGTCGTCGGTGAGCCGGAGAGGCAGGATATCCCCGTCCTCGATACCGTAAACGTTGACCGACACATTGTTCGAGCGTTCGAATTTCGAAATGTCTTTTAATTTCACTGGAAATTTGATATCCGCGAAGTTGAGCATTGTAGAGTAATGCGGATACGACGATGCCCGATACACATGATTTTCTGCGGGGTACAGAGCGGCTACTACCGACCACGCGAAGCACGCATAGTCATTCGAACCTACGTTAACCAACGCGTGCTTGTCCTTAATTTTCTTCTGCACTGTGATATGACACCCCGCGTGCATAGGATTAAGTTTGTTCACGTTCACTGTCAAGTTCAGGATTCGCGAGAGCGCCCACCCGCTGTCACGCTCCTGGTGCTCTTCGAGCGACGCCAACGTAGGTTCGATAACGCGCGAAACGTACCACTCGCGCACATTCGACGCTGGATACAGTTCGCAGTTTTTACTGTTTATACCCATAACGGTGCGTTTATCGCCCGCAATGAACTTACCGTTGAACGCGGTGTTCACTTTCACGCTACCGTGTCTCTCTATAGCGCCTCGCACTCGCTCGAGCACCACACTACCGGCGTCTTCAAAAAACTGTCGCGGTTCTATGTGTTCAAAGTTTATCACCGCACCTGTTAGAACGCACCTCTCGAACGCGACGTCGATCTCGCGCCACGCTAGAGATCTATCGCGATCACCACCACCACCACCCACGTGTACGAACCGTCGTTCCAACTGCGTCCTCGCACCCGCGAGTCGCGCGATTCTCGCCACCGCGGATTGTCTGTGCCCGACGGCAAGACGCGGACGCTTGGTGCGGCAGAGCACCTCCAAGTTCTCGATGCACTCGTCGCATCGTTGCATCCACGCGAAACACTCGCTCAATGTAGCGACGCGACCGCAATATTCAAGCAGCTCGCGTTCCGCACGCTCGTAGTCTTCCATTGTTCGACCAATAAAACAAAATAAAAAAAAAAGTTATTCGGAGCACTTGCACGTTACTTGGCAGCATGCGCTGCACCACTGCACTAAATACAACATGTCGTAGAGATGTTTGTTGTGACTTTGGGAGCCGATACACTTTTCACACTCTACCCATATATAGTCACGCGGGTCGCGTAATCTCGTAACGACAGGACGCGCCTCATCGCAACGATTGTGCCCTGGTACGTATACATCGTCTATTATCACTACCTCGGCCTTTTTGCCACTATAAGTGTCCAATGTGATGTTACCGCAGGAAGCCTCGAGTTCATCCTCGAATTTATTCCCCACCCATTCATAGTCTTTTGCGTTTTTTACGTTTATGCACCGGTCACGTAATCGCGTGTACGCTTCCCGTCTTGCGAGCGATGACCATCCGTAAGCGGGGTACGTGGTCACGTTTACGTTTTTCACTACACGATCCCCGTCTATCTCACGATCGCGCAGTACCCGCACCGGTGATGTCCACGCACTATAGTCCAGCGGAT